AAAAATGCTCATTGCAGTCCGTTAACGATGCACCCGGGTGGAACCAAGATGAATATGGATTTGAAGGATTGATTTTGGTGGTCAGGGATGAAACGAAGCATCACCGAATTTGTGTCTAAGTGTTTGATATGTCAACAAGTCAAAGCCGAGCATCAAGTTCCATCAGGATTATTGCAACCGCTTTTCATTCCTTAATGGAAATGTGAAAATGTTACGATGGATTTTGTTTCGGGGTTACCATTGACTCCGAACAAAAGAGAATCAATCTGGGTAATTGTTGATCGATTAACTAAGTCAGCGCATTTTCTTCCGGTTAGAACGGATTTCTCTATGGAAAAGTATGCAGAGCTGTATATTAGAGAAGTTATTAGATTGCATGGAGTGCCTGTTTCCATAGTCTCTGATCGAGACCCTCGATTCACTTCTAGATTCTGGAAATCTTTGCATGGAGCGTTGGGGACTCGTTTAAACTTTAGTACGGCTTTTCATCCTCAGACTGATGGGCAATCAGAGAGAACTATTCAGATATTGGAAGATATGTTGAGAGCATGCGTAATGGAATTCAAAGGATCATGGGAAAAGTATTTACCGCTGGCAGAGTTCGCTTACAACAATAGTTATCAGTCTAGTATAAAGATGGCCCCATATAAAGCATTATATGGAAGAAAATGTCGTACTCCATTAAATTGGTATGAACTCAAAGATCAAAGTGTTCTTGGTCCGGATTTAATTCAAGATGTAGAACAGAAAGTTCGAGAAATTCAGCATAACCTCAAAGTGGCCTCTGATCGGTAAAAGTCTTATTCTGATCTTAAAAGAAAGGAGATTGAATTTGAAGTTGGAGATAAAGTGTTTTTAAAGGTATCTCCATGGAAGAATGTGTTGAGGTTTGGTCGGAAAGGAAAGTTAAGTCCCCGGTTTATTGGACCATATGAGATTGTAAAAAGGGTGGGACCCGTAGCATACCAATTGACTTTACCACCAGAAATGGAAAAGATTCACAATGTATTCTATGTCTCAATGCTTCGAAGATATCGATCAGATCCCTCCCATATCGTAAACCCATAAGAGATCGAGGTACAACCGGATATGACTTATGAGGAAGAACCGATTCAAATTTTAGCTCATGAGGTTAAGCAATTGAGGAACAAGACTATTCCATTGGTTAAAGTTTTATGGAAGAATCACAAAGTAGAGGAAGTAACATGGGAGCGTGAGGAGGATATGAGGAATCAGTATCCCCATCTCTTTTCTTATTAAAAATTCGAGGACGAATTTTCTTAAGGGAGGGAGATTTGTAACATCCTCCATGCCGGGTTAGTGATTAATTTGTAAAGTTTCAGCATTTGGTGATTTAAGTAAAATGATGGAAGAGTTCAATGACCTATTTGAGTTATTTGGTGTAGGATTGAATTATAAAGAAGGAAAATTAAGAGGGCAAAAGAGTATTTTAGTAAGAGAAATAATTAAATATTCCTTAAGGTTATTTTATAAATCACGTGGAAAGCATTTGAGAGAAAACAAGGTTCTAGATATTTCTCTCTTCTTCTTCTTCTCCAACCGTGAAGCTTGCAAGCAAAGGTGAGTTGTCTTCTTTTGGATTAATTCTTATGAGTTAAGCATGGGTTTGGTTAATGAAGATTTAGGAAATATGATGGAGAGAAACAAGGACCTAGAAACTCAAAGAATTGTAAGTTAAGGGAGATTAAAGGTTGGGAGCCATTGAATGAAATCTTAGATTAAAGGTCATAATAAGAATTAGAAGCTGGATTTGACTTGTCATCAAGCTAATTAAGAAGTATGAGGTGATAGAATTAAAATTAGAACAAGTTGGAATTTGAGTAAGATTCTTAAATTCTATATGGAGGATTAGTTTTTTTTAAGTTTTAGAGGTATTGAATGGATAATAATTAGTTTAAGTAAGTGTATGAAAGTTAAAAGTATTAAAGGGAGTGAAATATGAATGTTTGAGCTGAAATGAGATGATTTTCGAGCTCAAAATAGGATTTCTGGGCTAGGGGAATCGGTACCCATTCAAGGGGAATCGATACCCCATCAACGAATATGAATTTCCAGAATGCTAGAGGGGAATCGATACCCCTAGGGGGGGAACCGATTCCCCCATAATGAAAAAAAAGAAGAAAGAAGAGAGACTAAACTATTAATCACTTAAATTGGTAGGCTATTAGAGGTTAATTTCAAGACTTATGCATCTGATAATCATCTTGAAAATTTTGCTTATGTAGATATTGAGCCTAATCGAGTTCCGGAACCATCGACAAATAGGATCAATCGAGGGAAAAACAAAGAAATCTAGGTGAGTGCATATGCATAGCATGAATATGTATTTTATTCAGTTCTAGACTTGTGATAAGTCTAGATTCAATATTTTGATACATGATCGTAGTTCATATGATGATATATGACATGAATCCATACCATATGCATTATGGGACATGAATATGAAAGAAAAGTTATATGAGTTATATGATAAAGGTATGGAAATAATATGTCTACGTGATATGAATTAGATAAATTGTGAAAGCCCATGTTATGTAAATGAGAACTATAGGTATAGTTGGCATGCCAAGGGTAGAGGGTCTATGTGGTCCTTCGGGACATATATGTATTCTTTGGAACATGTATGAAGTCTGGTGAGACACATACTTGATCCTTGGCATATGTATATGATTATTAAGGAATGATATGTGGTCCTTCGGGATATATATGTATTCTTTGGAACATGTGTGAAGTCTGGTGAGACACATACTTGATCCTTGGTATATGTATATGATTCTTAAGGAATGATATGTGGTCCTTCGGGACATATATGTATTCTTTGGAACATGTGTGAAGTCTGGTGAGACACATACTTGATCCTTGGCATATGTATATGGTTCTTAAGGAATGATATGTGGTCCTTATGGACATTATTATATGGCACTACGGTGCAATTCTATGCGCCACTCCGGTGCAATTCTACGCGCCACTCCGGTGCAATTATATGAGCTGTGGTGACAACATAGTGCACAACCTCACAATACTCACATACCTTAGGTTCTCTGTATGGTACCATGGGCTAATGAACTTACTAAGGTGAACTTATGAATGTGAATTTGATAAGTATATGTGTAAGAAACATGATTTTGGTTATTGCATTGTTTACATACATCTTATTATTGCAACCCATCTCATTTTGGCAATTACTTTATGTTTATTGATATTATTATTATATTATTGCCTCACTAAGTCGATGACTTAGCGTGTGAGTGTTTCACACGTAGGATCCGATAAAGTAGGCGATCGAGGTTAAGCAGCTAGACAACATTACTCCTGCAACTATCAGATCAAAAGCATCTTAATCAGTAGGTCATTTTGTTATGAAAATAGATATTGACATGTAATTAAAGAGTTAAGTTGTGTATGCTCTGAATATTTTGGTAAACTTATATTACCATATGTATATTATTGTATTTTTCGTAATATAAGTTCGAGTATTTTACTATTATTTGTAATGAGTTGTGTTTTAAAAGTCAATGTAATATCTCTGACTCGTATCCGGGTTGGGATACGGGTTGGGGGTGTTACATGTTTCATACGATTTGAACCATTATTTAATGTGTTGTAGATCGAAAGGTCTTCGGAGACGATAACCTTTAAAGTCAAAGTGAAAGAGAAAGCAAAGCAGGATGGACAATAAACAAAGACCTTATGAGCAAGCACTTAACTATATATGTATCAAATAGAAGGAAAGCCTGCACATGATATTAAAACATAACTCATAAGAATGCTAAAACAAGACTAGATGCTGCAGTAACTAAGACTAGATGCTGCATCTTCTCACTTCTAGCATCGTATTTAAGATGTTGGTTCAGTTAACCAGATAAAAAAAATACTGGATGTATCAGGATATAGAAAACAAACATGAAAGGTAGGGGACAATTGTCAATTAAAACAATCCTAATCAATTAGACATTCTATCTATTCGTTAGAGGATTTCAACAAGCACTCGATGATGAATGAACCTAAAAGCAACTAACACATTATACCATCTGTCTGGAAACATAGACAGTTAACATTTCCAATCTTTCAATCACGATAACAAATGATAAACCATGTTCACATTGAAAACACCAGAATATTCACAACCCCCTCCCCTCCGACTATACTATGGTTAGAATAAACTGATTGCAACTTCAGCTCGTTGCAGGAAAACACAAGAAAGCAAGGAGAAAACACCAAAATAATGAATTACCTCTCCAACTCTTATCTTTTTCCATTTTTTATTTTAAATTCCCCTGCCTAGAGAACTAACACCTCTCGATTGTTTTTATTCCGATTTGATTTGTGTCTCCGCTAATCCTCATAACCATCTTTAATTGCTACATCGAAACTACCCGAATTCTAAGTAGCCATGTAACATCAATAATCAGCTTTAATAAGGTTTTCTTATGCATTTGAACAACGAAATATCCTAACGATGACAAACTCCAAAATTCTATTTCAGATTGCAACACCATAACAATAACCAAAATAAAGATATGGAAATATTGATTCTCACAAATAACTAAGAACGAATAGTAAATTACTAACTACAATACTTCTTTATCACTTCAAAAATTCTTCCAGATCAACTATTTATTATCCTAGATAATTAGTATCTCTTATCTTTGCAGAACACAACCTATCAACCCAACCACGAAATTCCAAACATGCTTTCAACATCGCAATCACAAAATATTATGTATACATAGTATATTTTGAGTGAAACAAAATGTTACAGAACATAAGTAAATGGTGTCAACCTTTTTTAAAAAGTCCACATCATTGGTCCTAGCCTTTCATATACCGCTCTTGGGCTAGTTATGGTTTTGGTATGATTTTAACCTATGCTATCTCAATATCCGTAATGCCTTAAATAGGAAAGGATAGTTATCTAACTATGCATTTTGACCAAAAAATTCAGCACAAATATTCAAAGTAAATCACCCCATTCAATATTGCCAAGAAATGCTTGAAATGTTCACTCAAGCAGCTTTAAGTCTAGCTAATTCAGGAAAGAAGAAAATAAATAAATGACTTCTATAGCCTATTACCATCTCCAGTTCAAAGGTTGCATATTGCAACAATTTCGATTGGTAAAGTCCTCCAGTAAAGTGCACCAGCCAAAGTAATTGTTGCAGCATAATGGAGTGGTCCTTTAAGAAGTTCCTTGATGTAAAGGAGTGAGTTAGCGACAATTTAAAGAAGTCATAAGAAAGGCAACAAACAAGAAACGATCCATAAAGGGGTAAAAGATAACACACTATTTTCCCTCTTTAATGATTTGTTATCCCAAAAGACCATGGCTCATTTGATGCCTAGATGATATACAACTCCATTTGGTTGATGAAACATCAGGAAATTGTCAACTTCACACACACACACAAAAAGTTAGATGGATTCAGTTTGCCAAAATGATCTCCGATGGGAAATAAACCCCCAATATTTGGCCTTTCTATAGAAGACTTTCCAACAGGTTGCTCTGAATCTTGCACACACCCTTCCTTCTTGCCCAACGATAACAGTACCTCACAAATGTCAATTTAAAGCTGCAAAAAAAAAATTACATTTTTTCATATGGATACAAACATACTATAATTATACCACAAAAATACAAAGAATAATACAAGTAGGAACAAAATCCAAAGACACCTTAAACATCAGCTTTACTCAAAGCAAGTTCTCTAGCACACAATTGCTAGAGCAATAACGAGAACACTGTAACAGGAATGATAGTCAACAACTGCAACATTTAACCTCAATTGGTTACTTGTTAAGATTTAAGCCACAACATTTATTTCGCAACGTTCAAAGAATGAACCAATAGGCATCAGAGAAGAAATTTGGGAATCTTTGAGCAACCCCTTTTCTACAGCTGGGATTCAAGAATAATCCCACTTCTATGGAACAGTTTTGACATACATACTCAGCATTAATTTAATGATGCAACCTGTCCGTAGACCCTAAAAGATTAATAATTTCCACTGGCACTAGGGGAGAACTATTCCACATCTGGTATGTGCCTTTCTCATTTGTATTAGTATCTTCCATAGGAAAAAACCGAAGATCTTGGGCCTTTGGGGTAACTGGGGATCTGCTAGAATTGGTATCCATTTCATCAGTAGATCGTGGTCTTGACAATGGAGACTCTATAATTAGGGTATAAGTGCCGTTTGATTGAATCTCTAAGGGCCATGACAGACTGGTAGAAACAAAACACGATCAATAACTACTGACGAGATCGAAATACAGATACACGAAATAGGAAAATCAGTACGATTACTATTTATTAATAGCAAACCTGATGATCTGATGCATTACGATTCCATACACTCAATATATCCTCATTGAAGCGAATGCTCAGCACTGCACCACAAACATTATATCCATAGTCAAGTTGACAACTAGGGCAAGAAACTGCAAATGTAAGGAGGAGTGAATAATATATAACGAAAGTAGTATCGAATAATATTAAATGTTCATCATCTAGTGCCCAAGAGAAGGCACCATTTCAAACAACCAATCACAAACTAATTAGAAATTTAGAACATTTCACGAAGAGCCAAAGGCAAAGATACATTTAAGGGCCCGGAATTTCACCATTCACGATATTTCTTACAAAACCACATTAGCAAATAATAAGGTCCTGCATCGTAACACTCTATTTATTTGTTTATTTTATAGTTTAAAGTAGGGACAAATCATTAAAAGAGAAATGAGGTTAATGTTGACGCCAAAGAAGCCAAAATGCTAGTTAGGAAAAAAACAAGATGGGTACAAATTTAAACCAGGTTTCAGGGATCTTTTCAGAGGTTAAGAAACCATTAGCTTTCAGATCAAAGGTTGGTGGGCAGTATGACCAATCTCTTCCTCCTATAAACAAAAAAAATGTACATTATAATAAATTAGTCGTTACATTCAGAATTGGTATTTTCAGGCATTAGACGGGCACCAGTGTAATCAACAGAGGAACATACCATAGCCAGAAATGACAACCTCTATTTATCTGTGCACACTTATTAAACTGTAGCTCTATATACGAAAACATTCTATAATTGGTAGTCTATGGTAGATCATAGATGTCAACAAAGAAGAATAGCTCATATGGATATGGAGGCATCAGAGAGAGAGAGAGATAGAGAGAATAATCAACTCAACAATTTTCAGATTCCTCTCTCAGAGCTTAATCATAGGAAAGCAGGTATTACTGTTAACGAAACTCCATACATAGTATTTGTGTGGGACAAGGACTAACATTCTGAACCTCCATCTTCAACAATAGTATCTCTGAACCTCCTATGAAATAGTCTAAAGAAGTTAAATAAACTATAAAAACTTTCATTTAGTTATAGAACATGCCAAAATCAAGCATACGCTTTAATTAAAGTGAAGTTCCCATGATTCGGATTAGAATTCACAGATCTGGTTAGAAAACATTGCAGAAAGCTGATTTGAAATGGACGTTTGATCTTCTTTGTACAACAAAACCTAACTAGAATATCAGAAGGGAGATTCTTATATACAGTTTTCATTCTTACCAGATCTTATTTTTGGCTGTAGAGAGCCTACTATGGTTCTACATTACCAGACTCTGCAAACTGCAATGGTGGCAAGTGGATAAGTTGGTTCAAAAAGGTGCGAAAAACACTCTTATAATTTTATTAAAAAAAAAGAAAAAACAAATTATTGACTAAGAAAATCTCATTATTCTTCATCTTTCCGTAGTTCAGAAAGAAATGAATTCCAATGTTCACTATCAACCTGTTCAATTTGAAGCATACCATCTTCAATCCTAACATAACAGGAGAGAAGTAAGGAAGACTTCACTGCCATCTTTACCATAATAGTGTGTGTGCCAGTGTGTGAGTTCCCAATCAGCTTATTAGAAAACCACTCATGTATAAAGAAAGAAGATAATGAGTAAACATTATTAACAACCTTAAATAACCCATATTGCACATCGAATGCAGCCAGAGTAATATTTTCCATAAATCTTTGAAAATTCCACCACCATCAATACCAGCCTACTCCAATCCAAATTCATTGACAAATGTTACACGAATCTGTGGGGAAGCAATAAAATTGATTAAATCATTCTTGGCCTGCATGAAGAGGGAATTTGGGGAAGATAACAGTAAAGCTACTAAAGATGATAAAGTTTTCATATGTCAAAAGACTTATGTAAAGCATACCAATCCTTTAAAATCTTCTTCAGACAGTGCACTCGTCTGATTAAAAGCATCTTCTAGAATATGATTCCTTCGTATTTTGAATCGATTTCTGGGAAAAACTGCATGAGCACCTTGTCTCTGCTCAACTGATGCTAGTTGTGACTGGTAGGTGGGGTTATAGTATTCAGATACAAAGTAAAACAAATAAGAAATTAAATATCAGTGAAAAAGAATTCAAATGTTAGACTAAATCTCCTAGGTAACTCCCAACCTCCTAATTCAAGGAATTCAAATAAAGATAGTCTAAGTAGCATCCCAATATATGAAAATCTTGGAAAAAAGGGAAAATACCCATGTTGGACACAATATCCGTGTCCAAAATTCATACCTAAGTTCAAGTAAACATAGCTTAGGAAACACCGAAGTGATAAAGAGTCAGTATTAATGGAGAACATAATAGAACAGTAAGGAGAAAGAAAAGTATAGGAATAACAATGCCAACCTATATAAAGCTTTTGAGAAATTGAAGACAAGAACAGGGAGAAAATACCTACATTGAATTTGGTCACTAGAACAACAGTGATGGCAGAAAATGAACTAAGAAATCATTTCTTTAAAATTCACATCGCCAACAATATCATATGGCAGAATATACTCTACGAAGAAACTTGTTATCAACGAAAGAAATACAATCTAAAAATGAATCCATATTGAATCCAAATCAGAATTACATGAGAAATATCACAGTAACAATCATAAATATTGTATAAACTTGTAAAAAGATAGGAAAACTGCATGTTGAAAAAATTACGGGCATGATATTACTGCCTCAAATTAATAGTAGCAACTATGCATCAAAGTAAAGGCAAATATGACAAGAAAGGCATGCACAAAGAAGACAAAAGCTAAACAAATGGAAGTGACAAAAAGATGCAGGGGTAGCATGTCATTCTTCGTTGGACCAGGGAAAAGAACTTTTCCAGTATATAGCTCATACAAATAGCAACCAACATACCACATATCCATTGGATGATCGTAAGGCAAACCTAGAACTGCACCATGGAAAGGAATTGAATCGTCTATTTCGACAGGGGGATTTAGAAATAGCGGAGGCTTGGTTCGATCAAACCGCATAGTATTGGAAACAGGCTATAGTGCTAACTCATGGTAGTTATATTGAAGCACATAATTGGTTAAAGATCAGGAGACGTTTCGAATAAGAACAAAACAACTATATGAGTACCTTAGATGACCCATCGTCCATGTAAACATAGCTTTGATTGAAGTCAGTCAGCCCAAATAAATCATCCATTTGCCATGTCTGTATGCTTCCAGGTGTAGAACCCCCTGCGTATGTTACTTTTTTTAGCTCATTGTTCCCGTATCCAATATTTGATGGTAGGAAAGCAATCTTCTTCCATGCCCAAAAGCTTTGAAATAGCCATATTTTAGGCAATCTTTCCAGAAACAGAGGCTTGAAGAAAGTAACCCTTCAATCCGACAACCCAAATATGGGAGCTAGAGCCCATTTTCACTCTGATTACAGCTTCAACTCCTTGCAGGAAAACACAAGAAAGCAAGGAGAAAACACCAAAATACTGAATTACCTCTCCAGCTCTTATCTTTTTCCATTTTTTCAATTTAAATTCCCCTGCCAGGAGAACTAACGCCTCTCGATTTTTTTCATTCCGGTCTGACCCGTGTCTCCGCCAATCCTCATAGCCATCTTTAATTACCGAGACACAAAGCAAAATCAAGAGTGGGAAAAGAGAAACAGTTCTCCCAAAGACTGCTAGAGTGGGAGATTATCATCAAATTCCACACTTTTGTTGCGAATCCTCTGAGACTTACGAAATTTTTTTGCGCCAGAGATGAACTCCTGGAAATATCGAAGCTTGTACTCCTAATGTCTCTTAGTTTACCTCCCTTCTTCGAACTATAAAAGTTGTTTTGAAAACCCTGGGTTCTCGAATCCTTTCTTTTCTCCATTGAAACTTGTTTGCTTCACAGCAGAGCTTTGACACTGTGGAGGCTTAGAACATTCGTTTTTCATCGATGGCTTGAACGAAGCATATACGAAGAAGAGGAAAACGGTGTTCATATTTTGTATGGGATAGAGCAATATCCTACAACAGAGCTTTGGTAGCTAGCGCATGAAAATCAAAGAGGAAAAACAGAGAAACTAAAATGAGAGATGAGTTTTTAAGTAGGAAAAGTAAAGAAACTAACAGACGAAATCCCACAACGAGAGATAAAAAGCAGTGTGAATGGTTTATAAGTGGCAAGAAAATAACACCTTAATGTGCCGTCAAGTCCATGTCCCTTTCATGGGGTTGGGCTTGTCTCCCTTGCTCACCCTGCGCAGGCGGAAAGAGAATAGGGGTGGTAGACGGGTTTTTTGGTTACATGCTTCTTTTTAAGGTTTGGGCTTTTGTGACTGTTTGCTGGGATGAGGTCTCATTCCAACGCTATTTTCGCACGCTCTTAAGTCCTCCGCTGGTCTTATTATATGGGTCATCGTGAAGATGCTGGTTTCTGTATTAATGGACGCACCGACTGAACAGTGAGGTACTTTATCTTTTATTTTATATATATTTAATCACATAATTCATGTTCTATATTGGTGGTGTTTGATTTTATATGACTGAAGCAACGACATGGGGATTCCCTCCAAATTTCTGTTTTGCTTCTATTTTGCTCTTCTGGCCATTTTGTCTATCCAACATCTTTTTTCTAAATGAGGAAAAAAGGATCATACTTTGCCTGGTTTACTCTTCAAAAGATAGAACTTAATATAATGTTTGTAAGACTTTGGTTATGTTTCTCTTCATCTCACACTTTAATTGTTCTGATCATCCCTATCTTGCATCATGTTCAGATTGAGGGGCTCTAGTTCTTTCTGTGCAGTCATATGATATTTTGATTTTTCTCCTAAGACTTCATTGGTTGGTTTTTCAGCTAAACAAAATGTCACTACATCACTAGAGAATTCGAATTCTTGAACCTTCTATGGAACTTAGTTACTCTTTGTTAATTCCATCATCTTCATACCCATGATCACTTGTAAATTGTGGTTATGACGTGATATATCTAGGACATAGGTGTTTATGTTATCTGAAATTGTATTTAAAAAATTACTACTGTCACATGTCTAAGGAATAATGCCTTTGTGTTTATTCTGTCTTCTATGAATATTGCTTCATTTTTTGGTGCAAAAAATTATAATTGCTTAATTATGTTCAGTTCAATAGTGTTACGATTTTGATTTGTATCTTGTCTAGGTTGGATCCAAGCCTTCGTGGTTCTGAACTTAGGGCAACTTTGAAAGGAAATACAATGTCTATTATTTGACATTTAAACCCTTTTACTTGTCTGTTCTTTTCACTAAAATGTTTTTCTTACAATGTTTTTACTTGTTCAGAAGTTTGTTTAACATTTCTCCCGACTCTTGCTACGCATAACCATCCGTGCCTTTAGTTCTGACAGAGCAAAAGTTGTATCTGGTTCTGATGATCGGTCTGTTATTGTATGGGACAAGCAAACACCCCATTTGTCGATGGGTTTTTAGGGTTTGTTGGGTTTAGAGGATTATTGGGTTTATTGGGATTATTGGGTTTAGGGGATTATTGGGTTACGAGACTTGATAAGCAAAATGATGGGGTTTAAAGCAGAAGAATAAATGTGTTTAATGGAGACTTGATAAACAATAGATAAATCCAGGGATAACCGTAACAAGCGCTATCTTAAGACAAATACCGTTGCCACCGTCCCATCAACACAAGATTGTTCAATAACCAAAGTAGTTATTTGTTTTTTTACTTGCTGAAATGGCTCGAACAAGAATTAAACATCGGTAAAATTGTTTGAAAAAAAAAGGAACAGGTTGCTTGAGTCAGGGACTTGATAGCTTTTTTTTCTTATCATGGGGTCCCTCTCTTTTAGAAATATGTCTTTCACGAAATTGGTTAAGCCATCATGTTTTGTTGAAATGACCTTTATGCATGGATTGGCTTTGTTTAATCAGTCAATTTTGAATAAGTAATCCATGTGGCAAGTTTAAAATCCAGGGAGGAAAACAGGGTGAATTCTTGTTGCTATATGATAAAGCTCCATTCTTTCTCCACTATCCTTTCCTCCTTTCATCCCATAATTAATGACTGTTAACTACAAGTGTAAATAGCAGATGTTGCTTAAAACTTGGGTTAAATTCAAGATATTGTGAGGAAATATGATTTTTAATGAAAAAAATCAAATATATATACATGCTTAGTTAACTTCAATGCAAAGCACACGCCTGGAAATATCATCACCGACCACTGCAGCACTGCCCGATAAAGTTTAGTACTTACATAAATTACGACATAAAACATGCATACTTCTAACAGAACCTCAGAAATTAGTGAGAGGAAGACAACCAAAGTAAACTCACGTCATAGAAATGCAGTGGTTCCCCAATTTTGTATTTTTGAAAACATGGTTCGAAGGATGCAATCGACATCTATTCCCTAGCTTTACAGAAGAACCAATTGTAAAAAAAGGACCTACTGAAACACCCTGTGCCATCACAATTTTGAAATTTCTCATGAACACAAATCATTACAACAGAGTACAGCCAACAAAGAACTTAGCTTTCACAGTCAAAGCAAATTATAAAGATTTGAGGTACTCAAACCCAAATGCCCTGATAATGTAACTTAGGGACAAGCCTCTTCATTCCACTCAGAAATCAAAAGAAGAAAATGTAACTTACATTTAGATATACAATAACATTCAACAATGGAAGCTGTAAATCAGAATTCAAACACCCCAACTCAACAATAAAACGATATTATATTATAAAATTTGCAAATCCAAATTACTGACTACTACCACTAACCTTAGAATGCTGTAGAGATCTAAAATTTGCAGATCAAAAGCACTACAACGGCAATGACTAGTTTAGCGTAAATTCCCTGAGCAAAAAATAAAGAACATAAAAACCCACAACAAATAATCAAAGGAACCGCGCTAACACCAATATGCTACTCGTCAATAAGCAAAATAAAAAGAAAACACCAATTGAGCCGTGAGAAAAGAGGTAAATCGCTCCAAAGTGAAATCAAAATCGACCACTCCTTGGAAAAAAAATTAAACTCGACTTTTCAACTTAACCTCCAAGCATTCAACATAAAGAGCTACCTCACCACGTAAACAATGTAACTTCTCCAAAGAATTGATTTACAGTCGTTTTTAGCAATGACGAGGTAGCTACCGAGTTATTGATTAAGCAATTAAAATCCAAAGAATCCAATGGTGTGAAAGCTAAAAAGAAGAATTCTCCCTCGGTAGAAGCAGAAGATGCGGAAAAATGATGTTGAGAATCCTACATCTATAAAAGATACGATTAAAACATTGGTACAAAAAAACTAAAAACAAAACGA